AAAACATCTATTTAGCACTTGAGAATTCCCATATAGTAGTTTCGTACAATACATTTAAAGTTAGGTATTTAGGCTTGCATGATGACTAAGCGGTTAAAACTTTAGAACTAGCAGTGTTTGCATTGCAGATTACACACCTCGAGTTCGAGTCCCCCATTTCAGCCATGGTCTAATAGTTGGCTGTTCATATGTATTGAATGTTCGGATGTGAATAATCATCATATAAAAAATGAATGCATTAAATCTTAATTTTAAAATAATTTAGACTATTTAATCGATCATATGACATTCAACTTTGTCTAACTGCGCAGAATAGTTGAGCATTTTTAAACCATGTTTCTGTAATTTTTCCTATTTATGCTACACCAGGATGGTCTAAGGTTGTCGGCCCTGGGGGCAACAAAATTATTTTTTCATTGTTCGTGGGCCACAATAGTGCCAAGAATAGGTAAACGGTGCAATACAAAACAAACGCTTTTCTTGTGCAGTATTTGTCATTTATCAAGCTAAAAGATGCAAGAACCCCAAAAAGATTACTAAATCCTGCGACAACGAAAACAACAATATTAAGTTATATTTATTAAATAGGTTCTGCAGTTTGTTTGATTGGGAAAGTACAGCTCAGCATTCAATCATTTTTTTGTCGTTTCAGTTATTGCTGTGTTCGATCGAACGTCGAAGTCAATTCAATGCTTCGGTCGTGAGAAGAACACCTGGACAAAAATGCAAGTCTGTCATATTTTATGTTTAATAACAACTACAACAGCCAGTGAATGCTGATGGTCATATTGTAATATAATACTTAACAATTGGGGCTCCTCAAGGGTCGCTTATGGGGTCCAAATTATTCTTAATTACGATTAATGACTTCCCTAAATCACTCAAGAACTCCGATGCTATCCTATTTGCTGACCCCCCTTTCCTACGAGGGAAAAATTCCCTTTCCTACGAGGGAAAAATTCACCAGACCTTATTGAAAAAACTAATGCTGACCTTACTAATATTCAATTTTGGCTAACTGCAAGCAAACTAACAGTAAATGCGGAAAAGACCAAGTACATGATTTTCAGTGCACCTAGATAAAAAAAAAAAATCGTTTCCTGGGTGTTTTTACTCGATGACAAATTGTCATGGAAATATCACTCACTATCGGTACTATTTATCTAAAACAAGGACAGCACTCGGAGCTATTTCAAAAGTCAATAAAAATCTTAATACGTCATGCCTGTTAACACAATGAGCATATATACAATGAGTGGAAACTTCCAAATATATGCTTATTATTCCATTGTCGCTGTATTTTTACGTCGTCAAGCTAAATGGTTCGTTGCATATTAAGAAAACATATCGCTCGCTGCAAAAATCCCTTACTTCAGTCGAGCCGGGTGCGAGATCGGCCGTATTGAGGTCTTCAATTCAGGTTTGGTTTTGGGTTTCGAAGTATGGTACGCTGAAAGCATACAACTATGAGCATATGCCATTGTAAAAAACGTAGATGCAGAACAGAATATGAACCAGTCGCCAAGTGGGGTGCGGGTATTTCTGTATCTATTCATTGATGTAGCATTGGATTTACATATTTATCCGGGTGGAGAGGAAAGCCGATAAGATGGGCTAAATATATGGCGAACCACGGCCTCTCTCAAGCATAGCTCTGTGCTCCATATAAACCTCCAGGGCTCTGCGAGCTATTCGTTTACTTAATAAAAATACTGATTTTAACTATAAATTACCCTGGGATATTTTGCCATTGAAAACAAAGCCAGAAATTAGAAGAATAGCAGAGAATGAAATGTGTTTAATATGTAATGGAGAACCTGAGTTTGTTTCACATATTTTCATGTCATGTAAATTTACACAAAATATTTATGAAGATTTCGTTTGTTTAGATATATTATAATTAATTAGAATACATTTTGGTATCAATTAGGATTCTTGCATATTATTTAATTTTATTGATCTTTTATATAGTCATATAGATACTGTTGATTTGGATGCAAATATACTTTTGTAATCAATAGTGAGATATAAAATTTGGACCATGAGAAATTCTAATATATTCGAAGATAAAACACCACATATTGCCTTACTCGAAAAACAGATAAAAATGGCCGTAATATGTAAAAATTTTTAAGAATTTTAATTTAAAGAATGATAGAATAAACAAACCCTTTGAAGGGAATTGAAAAATTTATGTAAAGCATTATCTTAAAAAGAATATTATATGTTTATGATATGTATTTTATATTTGCTAATTTTTTTTAATTTTTATTGTTTTATATCAATCTATTTATTAAAATAACCTAATTATGGTATAGATTACTACTGGAATTGAACATGATCATGGATGCAAAATGGAATATGGACTTATTTATATTATATATATTATTTTATATTTAATTAAAATTACTCATTGAGTGAACCAATGAGCATAATGCTTATTGGGAATACATATCTATTAGGCAGAAAAATTAACTACAGAACAGAATATGAACAAACCAAGTGGGGATCTGGGGTATCGTATTCATAGGATGGGATTGAAATATTTGTCCAGGGCGAGAGTAAAGCTGATGAGACTGCTTAAACATATGACAAACCATGGCCTTGCTAAATTATATTTTTCCTAAGTACTCCATAAGGAGCCAGGGCTCTGCAAGTTATTCGTTTCCCTATTAAAATACTGACTTTTTTTTGTAACTGCTCGAAAAATCGAAACGACATTAATAAAATGTGATAATGATAGCGTTAATTCAAATTAGACATTATCTATATGTTCTAATAGATAATGCAATATGTTGCCACATATCGACACTACTTTATTAATATGTTTGTCATATTTGCGGGGCTCCGTAAATAATAGTCAATATCTTCACGGGCTCCATAACGCTAACAACCTATGCTCTAAATCAGTGGGGCTTGAAGCTAATTTAAAATATTTGTTAGATTTGATATTATTGCCTTCTTATTTTGGATATTTACAAAACTTGGCATTTATTTTATTAGTTACGTTCCATTTATGTATTTTCAACGTGTTTCTTAATAAAACATACTCATTGTATATATGCCCATTGGTTAACATTATACCACTCATTAATGAAAGTCATATACGATGTTATACATACTTGGATGCATCGTCAAAAAGGTATTACAGCTAAAATTCAAAGTGTCTGTAATCAGTTCTTGAAAATGACTTTTGGTAGGGGTCGGAGAGATAGTGTCGCGGATTTGCTCAAAAGTGAAAAACTACTACGTGTTGAAGATTTACTAATACTTGAGATTTGTACATTGATGTTTTTATCTTCTACTGACCATTTCCCTAGTTGCTTTGATCGTGTTTTTTCGTAAATAATAATATTCGAAATAGCAGAAGTCACAAAAATTTTTTTGTTACGTATGTGAGAAAATCAACAGCACAAGAATCGACCACATGACATTGTTTTTCAGATACAAGGGTCTCTTTGATGATTGGTGCAAAAAAGGTTGAGAAAAGACTGGCAGATGAAAAATATCATCGTTTGACTAACTATGTCTTTGTGGGTGCAACCAACTCCCATTGCTCAGGAAACAAGTCTCGGGCAACCCACTGATCTCTAGTTCCCGCATATTTTTTTGGTTTATTAGCTTTGTACAGTTACTTCGTTGGATCGTCGCTAATGAAAAGATCATCTTATACAAATTTAAATTTATCATGCTGAGACTTGGTGACAATAAATTCAACACAATAGCGCCTACGAAATTGACCTGCATTTTATGCCAGACTCCATTGTTCTCATTTCTTTTGTCGCATACAATTTATGATTGACAACTCGAGTGTGAACAAAGAATTTCAACCTATTTCGATTATTGTTTACCTTCTTAGAACCTAATCCTTTTGTGTCGTGGTCCCACCCAACGTTGGTTTTTAGCAAGTTCATGTCTCGAACAAATTTTTACTTGTTTCGTACAACCTATTGTAAAACACACACAAATGCGATTTGTACCCTATTATTCCTTCACATCAGAACCTGGGACATGAACGTGCCATAAACTGCCTATTGTAGATATCATCGTGGTGCCGTACCTCTTTGTCCTGTGTATTGTACAAGCGGTTTATTTGTATATTTCATGCCCGTTGTCCTACTATAACGCAGCAGTCTTAAACTGCAGTTATACTTGGGGTCCTGTCTCTTTTATACCGTTCAACTATTATGCAGATACTGTTACAATTTTGAGACAAAGAAACATACATACATAAATTGAATAGCAACTTCAATTTAATATCGGGTTATATGGTGCTTTGAAGCGGTAGTGTAAGTACAACACCCTTGTGTTATAATTTTGGTTTAGTTGAGTACAACACGTGAGAGCTGGGCATCTGATTGAACTGACGTACACCAGATAGGCCCCAACTCCATGTTGCGACTCAATAGAAAACTAAATGATCGGAAAGTTACATTACGTTTTCACAATTATTAATGCATAAACCAATTTGAACAAGTGTGTTGCAATATTTTGGACCGAAGTGGTGTACATCAGAAGCCAGAAATTTTCAAAGGGAAAACTTCTGAAATTTCTAATTGCCAAGTTAGACCGTAACAGCAAGGGTGTCTGTCCGTCCTGAGGCAGGAAAATGTGGGTTTGAGACTTGAGGGTCAGAAAGCGTTACAAACTACGAAAAATTGCTACGTATGATACAAAAAAATGCCATTATTTACATTTCAAAAAGAGGGAGGGGGCTACCCCCTAATGTACGTACTGTCTACTAATTGTAGAGAAATAAAAGGTTCTAAGGCCATGTAATACTTTGATTATTGATATTTTGGTTATACCAATGTTTCCCAACCAGAGAGGAATTTCACCGTTGTGGGATAGAAAGTTGGTTTCATATTCGCTGCAGTATTGCTAATCCTATCTATTATTACTAATCCATGAACACACGATAAACTACCTATTTCAACAACGGGAGTGCGGCACTGGCAAAGGATCCATTAAAGATTGAACAAATAAAGTGGTGCATATGGAGGGAAGAATAAAGAGTACAAAAATAGGCAAGAGAGGGGAAAAAAAGTTGGCAACCACTAGGTTAAATCTAGTTTCCAGTAACAGTAGAGATAATAATTAGATATTTTTTGTTTCGATAAAATTATTACAATATCTACATATTCTGACAATACAAACGAAGAAACTGATTTCAACATTGGTCCAGATGAGTTTCACAGAAATCAAACATTGCTAAGTTGGTAAACATAAAGCAACTGAAGTATCTGGATAAACATTTTTTCCTGATAGGCTTCCAACAACTTTCCATGTATTTGTAGGATGATCGTACTCTTCGATAGTATCGTTACTGTTCGCCCTATTAACAAAAATGAATGTTGAAATGCTATTTACATTACGTTCAAATTATGGGAATTTGTATTCATCTAGTACAGGGGTGGGCAACATAAGGCCCGCGGGCCGGGTCCGGCCCGTGACGAGATATTGACTGGCCCGCTGACTGTTTTCAACCACACTCTGTAATGTGGTCCGACGCATCATTCCTGAAAGTTTCCGATCGCTCTACTCTCACCGCACTGTCAGAGCGAGCATGTGAAATGAACAATTGCCTTAGTGAACAAACAAGGAACCTTTCCCCGACCTTTGATCACCGAAAAATTCTTCTTATACTTCACCATTGCAAAATTTTCGGGGCTTAATTTAAGGTGGTTTCGCGAGTTGGCGCCTGTAAAATTGGGTATGTGTTTCAAATCATTATTATGATTCATCGCATGCAACAATCAGTTTTTTAAAAGCACCGATAAAGAATTTTAGCCCAGTCTATCACAGCTATATCTACACTAATTTTTTATTACTGCAATTACATTAAAACTCATAAGAAGACAGAGTGATCATTGAACTATCCGATTTGTATTTAGATTTCCGAAACACAACTGAAAACTGACGAATAGAGTTCAAAAACGCGAAAACGAGGCAATGTTTACGAGCTCGCCTGAAAATTTGTCTGAGTGAGAAATATGTCTGAACGGATGCAAAACGGGGACATTGTTACGTCACGTTTTGCATCTTGCGGATTGGCCAACGTCACGAAGTAAACAAGGAATTCGATGTTCGGAGAAAGGTTCATTGCGTTAGCACACTTGTTCAACAAAGCAGAGACCGTTGTAAACATTCCCCACTACTGTTATCAGTTATATTTAGATTCTAAATATAAATAGATTTTTATTAGATTTTATATTAAGTTTTATTAACCATGGAATATCCCAAGAAACGTAAAGTTGACAGAGAGTGTCGAGCATTTAACAAAGATTGGATACCGGAGTATTTTTACAAAGGTTGGCAACAAAGCAGTATGTTTACTGCGTGGTCAAAGTGTTGCGGTTTTAAAAGAGTACAACATTAGTCGTCATTATGTAACGAATCATGGAAACTATGGCAATAATTTATCAGCAGTGGAACGGCAAACTAGAGCAACAGAACTGGACAGAAAACTTGTTAGGCAGTAGAATGTTTTGTAAACGCAATTTATAGTTTTCTTTCTTGCATTAGCGAATAAATATGTGATTAAGATATTGAATACTATTCATGTAATGATTCTGTCCGCCGAGGACTTCATTTTCCCACATCTGGCCCGCCGACTAGAGAAGTTGCCCACCCCTGATCTAATAAGTAAAATTAGTATCATTAAGCGATGTAAGAAGACCGGCTTCAAGTTTTCAATTCAGGGACCATCAAAACCTTATATTATACTATTCTGAATCTATTCAAAAAAACATGGAGTAAATCATTTTTTGTCAAATTGTAAAATAATTATTATTGGACACGTAGTGGAAATAACGATCGTTTCAATATTATGTTGTTGTTCTTGTTCTTTGACACGTTTTTAAAAAGTCGCTTTTCTCTTCGAATACTGGACCAATTGCTTTGAAATTTTCAGTGGTTAAAGATAAAAATTTTCTCCAGAAGGCTATTACTTTTTTTTCGCTATGACGTCATCAAAATTATGTGACTCTACGTGTCCATATATTTGAGCATAGCTCTCTTGTTTCAAATGTTGTGTAATGTATTAAATGCTCTCAAACGATTTTTTAGATAGAACATGGTTCATGTGAATGTACAGAGTGAAGCAAAGAAACAAAACCCATAAATTTTTTAATAACTTCTGCGAAAATGAAGAAAGTTTGAACACTTGAAACATAGGTTAGAGCAGTGGTCGTCAAACTTTTTGAGACGCGACCCCATTTCAAAAATTATGACGTATGATAAGCTTGTGACGCCTAGGTATGGCAAAGAAAAAAATATTTCAAACCACTAAAAACTAATCACAGTAAAACCTCATTCCCAAAAACTCTATCACACGCTTTAGATTTCGTGTTACAATTTAATTATTGTCGTCACACAATAGCCTTATTATAAAAGATATCACTGTAATTCAGAATACCCAAACTTGCTATGTAGTGCTAGTCAGCTCAGTCGAGAATGCACGCAATAGAATAATGAAAAATAAAAAAGAATACAACGCCGGACACTCGGCGACCCCCGAAATATTCAAGGCGACCCAACTTGGGGTCGCGACCCACACTTTGGTGACCTCTGGGTTAGAGTATGACTGTATCCAAAAGTTTCAGTAATCCAGGACACTTTGCATAGAATTATGTTCTTTCTAAAATGTATTCTAAAATCTAAATAATATGGATTGTGTTTTTGGAGACCTGTATTTGAATATTCAATTCATGTTGCGCATCCCTGATTCAAACAGTCGGAAGAATTAATAATTTAGGGGTAACAAATTACTGATTAGAACGGAAAACGTGAAAAATAAAAAGAGAAATCTAAAGATGTAGAGGTGAGTTTGGTGCGTAATAAGAAGGGATTTTCTAGGCATATCCCTATCACTCTGAGAAAGTTGAACCGCAGTCGTAATTCTACAGCTATCTCTTTTCGATACAAACATTTGTTTGCGCATTTTGATAATCCCAAAGAATGAATCAGTGAAAACAAAAACTTCTTGACACATTATTTATTCTTGACATATTTTAATTTAGTAAATAAAAGTGTGTACTAGAATCAGGAATTTATCTTACCCGCCAATAACATATATTTTATCTCCCAAAATGCACGATCCTAAGTTAAATCTTGCAAGGTTCATATTGGCCACTGATGTCCAAGTTTCAGACTTGATGTCAAAACAAATCACTGTAGCAAGTGCACATGTCCATGGAGTCCCTCCTGCTCAAAAATAAATACCACAGATGTGATTTTTTAGAAAATGTCATATGAAAACTGTTTAGATGATTTGAAAAAATAACTCAACAAAAATTAAATTTTTAAATCAGCATTGACGTTAACGACCGGAAACATAATAGGACTTCATGATAAATAGATATTATTTTTAATTGCAATTTAATTCCATTGATAAATAAAATATATACTATTAGCAAATATCTCATGTTTTTCGAGCATTAAACTACGTTTTAACTGAATAACATGAAACAAATTTGATTTGATAAAGATGCACAAAGGGCACCATTTGTTAATGCCCAAAACGACCATTTCAATTCGTTTATTTCCTATTTTTCACTCCACAATGCTGTCATGAGCCAAATCCTAATCATCGGTATTGCCAGGACATGTAAACTTATAAGATAGCATATGTCAGAGTCTCCCAAACTGGGGTCCGTGGTCCTGGGGGTCTATGATGACCGCACAGGGGGTCCGCAACGATATGAAAAAAGTCTGATTGATTTCAAATAAAAAGCCATTCCATTTTTTTGGTTGAGCGTTGCGGACGAATATTTATTGTTGTCAGAAAAGGCAATTAAAATTTTATTGCAATTTGCAAAGACCCACATGTGTGAGGCAGCATTTTCAGCTTTTACAATAGGATGACAAAATACAGGTCGAGACCCAAAAAGTTTGGGAAACCCCGGCATATGTAATATAAATCACAAACCCAAAACATGAATCTTTTGATCAAACGCCACAGCTGATGCGGAATATCTCCCAGACGGCATGCTGGGCAAAGTGTGCCACTTTGGAATAACTGGATCAAGTTTCAAATTATCAGAAAGAGAAGGAGAATATCCAACATATCCGCCAATACAGTAAATGAAGCCTGAATACAAAACCTTACCCGTTTTATTACCAGACTTAATGTGTAAATTATAGGCTAAACACACATTATCATTACATATCACATACATTAAATGGGTTAAAATAATCTACTGGGATCATGTTCGCTATCACGATGATAACTATTATGGGAGAAAAATTCAATTCGGTGTAGATGATTACAAGCAAGAAGATTTTCGAATACCCACCAGCTGAATATCCATCTCTTGCTTATGATTTTATCTTTAACGACACAAATGTATCTGGGACATTTTAACGGATAAATATTTTTACACGATAGCGTCATATTACAAATATTTTGATTCTACCTTGTGTTATATATCGATAAAGGGATTACAGTGACGGGAGTTTGCAAAACGGATACAAACAAAATGAAAGATTAGTGATGTGGAGACCGATTGGAAACATTTTGAAGAGTAGCAAATATCTATGAGAGCAGCGAACATATGTACGTACAATGGAGGAAAAAATCAAGAAGCTGTAAATAATGTAACATATAATGTATTAAACAACATCGTTTCATTACTGATAATGAAAAATTACAGATATTGGTACTGACCCTCCGTAGCAACAACTGCACATTCCCTAGCTGGTACTGGTTTATCTATCAAATGAACCCATGAGTCGTTTGAAAGTTGATACTTTTCAACAGCTTTGCTTGAATTAGAAGAATCATCGAAGGCATAAATCAAACCTGGAAATATGACATTGTTATGAGTAACATATATGTGAAGCATAGAGCGGTGATTTTCTCGCCCAGGGGTGAGACGTTGCAAACTTTCGTGAAAAGATATTTTCTTACTTTTAATAAATATGTATGGATTAGAATCTTAATCATTCAACAAAACATGAAACTTTGTTGAAATAATGATTTCAGAATGAAAATTGTCAAGAAAAGATCGCAATCCGCCGATTTACTTAATTTTAAAACTGTGCATTGATTTGTAGTTTTTACAATGCTCGATGGATTTGGTTGAATTTAGGCCCACGTCGACCATAAACATTTATTTTTTCACCCAAGCTCGATTACTCTTTTTTAATCGAAACAATCTAATATGCATGCAGGCTATTATCTTTTTATATGAAGACCATTTTAGTCGCACTTTGAAACATTACTTTAGATTTGTTTTTATCAGTGTAGATATAACCTGACATTATGGACGAGTCAAAATAAAACATAGTCTTTAAAAAAAATTTAAAATTGGTTTTCATACATGTCTTTATTCGAATTAATATTTGTAGGCAATATCAATTCATGAACAAACATTATTCACAAATTATTTAAACACATGTCGAAACATGTTGAATAAAAACTAAAACTCGAATTTGTCTAGTACAATCAGGTTCTTTTATTGCAAAACACATCGCAGATTTTACTCGACCGCCCACCCAAAGTGGACACCTTTGCATTGGAATAAAGAAATTGAAAACGAAGTCAACTTAAATTGTACTTCTTCATTAAGGAGGCAAACAACTGACTTTACTTTCTAAGCTTAAATTAAGAATACAGTAAAAAAGAGCATATACAACACATCTTTCCCCGAACTTACCATTCAATGTTACTGCTTGCAGTCTGCCATCATTCGAACGATCTTCTAACCTTTCCCAAGTTGCTGATGTATCACCATAGTTTACTAAACGATAATTTCTTCTATCATACATGAGCACATAAATATCATTTCCAAGAACAACAGCACGAAATTTTGTTTTTGCAATTTCAGTAGTGATGTTCTGAAAAAAAGAATGACCAGCCAAGATCAATTCTACAACTATTCAATCAATTGTTGAATTGTATTAAACAACTCAAAGATGCTGTACATTTTCAGAGAACAAATAATTTGTAGCGAGATTAAAAATCCCTCATGCTCTAGGTACAACAAACACTATTAAACATTCAAATTCAGTTTCTAACCTGCAATTTTGTCCAGGTGTTCTTCTCAGGACTGAAGCATTGAATAGACTTTAATGATTGATCAAACACAGCAATAACTAAAACGACAAAAAATTGATTGAATGCTTAGCAGTACTTTTCCAGCCAAACAAACTGCAAAACATATTTATTAAATATAACTTACCATTGTTTTCTTTGTTGTCAGGACCCACTGAAATGGATAATAGTGCAATTTTAGGTCATTGGAGATTTTTCTTTTTTCATAAATTATGTATTCAGAGGATATGAGCAAACTTACATGAAAACAACAAACCAACTTGTCACATCAGATATTAACTATTACCGATAAGAATAATTTTAACTAAAATAAAGTAGAAGCCCTCAAAACAAAAGCTATATAAAACTTCTAATAATTTCTTTTTTAGCCAAAATTGATTTAATATCGAATATTTATAATCAATATTCCAATCCCCAACACTAATGCAAGTTTTCCAGATATAAAAATCTAAACAATCTTTAAATCCTTTAATGTGTGCTTTGGGCAACGCAACTATTTAGGATGGTGGAATATGATAAGATTACTTGCTTGCTACATCTAGATCAATGAATTAGACCAATAAAAGCTGAATAGTATGGTTGAATCTCGATTTGACATCATGGCATTTGTCAGATATAAAGTTGTTAAATGAAATGGTAAAATCGTTTATTCCATCAATCACGACTTTTCTCTAAGCAATGATAAAGTACAAAAGTACCTGTCATTATAGTATGATCTTTATCCCGCACATTTGCTCCTTTGTGGAAAAATAGTAACTTCACACAGAATAGAGAGTTGGAAACCAAAGGCTGAAAAACAGAAAGAAATTATTATCAAAAAAGTTGTGAAGGTTATGAAGCATTTTTGATAAACTTGTCTCGGGTATACTTCGAAATCTCTCACGGATTGGAATAGATCAAAAGAACAATAGCATAAAAAAGAGCTATGGGAGTATTTCGTAATGTGCATGGGATAATTTTATAATATTTATTGTGACGTAACACGCAAACGAGGTCAAAACATGCTCATCCCGTTTCATTTTCAGTTGGCAGTAGCAGGTGTGGGCGATCTCAAAGAAAAGGATTGGTAGAGCTCAAAATTTAATTGTTTCAATAAATCAAAGCTGCTTGTGTATCACTTGAAAAGGTTGAGAACCACGGGCTTATACAGTGCCTTGTTCCCAGAGAATAAATGAAAACTATTTTAAACTCGATCTCGCCTCATTTTTCACGAGATATGTCATGTATTCGACCGATAGTTTTGAGAAATCAAACGATTTGAAAATTTCTTCAAAAAACTTGGCACGATTGTCCGGTTCATGCTGAGTCCATGTGATCAATGCTTTGCATTTGTCAGGAGTGGAGGCCTGGAAAAAATATTTCTTGCAATAGTTAAATAAAGCTATAAATTGTAATTTTAGTAACAATTAGTCCAGGCATGTAAGTTCAGATATGTGAGCAACAATTGTTATACTTTTTAAATTTTTAAAATGATATCAAAATGCTGGCAATGAAATTGTATCCTTCCTTATAAAAATATATTCAATGCAAGTTGTGAGCAGGTTATCAAATGTTTCATAAAAACAAAACATCAAATGATGAAATGTTACATCTTTGAATGAGAAACTGTAATTCTGCAGCAATATTTTTAATGATAATGATAAGCGTCTGCCATGATAAAAAATCATAAATTGGCTCTCACGATATATTCCACTGAATTTAATATATTTGCAAGTTGTCTGAACTTGTAAATAGAGAAATTTGCTTTTCTCATATTCCAATCACCAAAAACCATGATAATTATTCTAACCCACCTTCACATTCTCAGCTTTCATCAGAAAGCGAATGTAATCGTCTTCAAGGAGCTTGAAATCTTTAGAAAGTACAACTGAGCAAAAGTTTTCCAGAGCAAATGCATTGCAATGCTCTTTCAAATTTACACAGTTGAACATGCTAGCAATTCTTTGCGTTGAAACAAATGATTCGGATCCCAAGTCATCGGCAAGAAAAACAGCAATTCCATCACAAAGCCCTGTGATAATAATTGCGATAATGGTATTAGGATAAGATTTACATATTTACCGTGGTGGAGAAGGACCGATTAACTATATGGCAAAACCGCGGCCTCTTGTTCGTTCACCTCTATGTTTGGTATGGGATTAGTTAGCCAGTTATTTGTTTCAGATGCATGGACTTGATGACCAGCGGTTATGTGAACCACCCTGGAGCGGCGAAGAGTTCAGCAAACCTTCCGCACATAATTATCTCTCACATAACTCGAACCTGCGAACCCAGGTTAAACAGAGGTGCAAAGGCGAGGATATCCATAAGCATGATAAACGCCGAAACTAAAACTTATAAAATCTATGATATATTATTGGGAAATGGTCACCTAGACAGCGCTTTCGCAAGTCCTAGATATGGTCACTTCACTTTCATTCGTGATTTTTTTATGAAATTATTGTTATACTCCGTCAATTTCCAGAGTGAAGGAAAACTCAGTCATATTACAAACCTTTGTTCCTCATTTATATCAATTATCGACTACCTTGTCAGTTTGTTTTATATACATGAAATGGATTACACCATAGGTGTGTAACCTCTGTCCCACAAGAAAACTTGAGTGATCTGCGAAGAAGTGGCAAGTTTGAATGGTGCGCGGTCCAAGAAAATTTTTTTAATTCTGTTTAATCTGGTATGTGCGAGTAATTCCAATCCATTTGCAGTGCAAAGCATCCAATTTATTATCTGTGCCTATGCAGCCCACAGTTTCACCCAGTTATTTGTGTCTGGCCCTCCTACATTAAAGGTTGCACACCCCTGGATTACACATTTACAGATTCACATAGGACAATTAAAAAAGAAGTACAAATGTGGTATGAGATGCACTATAACCATCTGATAGAAACTCTACAATCAAAAATAAAATGTCTTCTTACTTTGCAATTGCATCATATGAGCAACGAGCATTAACTCTTCCCGATTCTCATCAGCTACAGCTCCTGTCCCAGTGTAAATGAAATCAATGCATTTTTTAACACAAACTGGACTCGATTCCTTTATGTTGACGACGCCTGCCTGACTTTCTTTTGTCTGAGAAGTAGTAAAAAAAACTTTTTGACTTTGAATTTACCAATCCGTTATGAAGCAGCAATGGGTTAATGTGGGTTAAATCAATACCCTGCTTCTGCTATAATAGAATGCAGTAGAACTGGCTTCAAACCGGCCCGGTGATGTGACGCATCATGCTAAGCATTAAGAATACTCTCGCCACTGCCCACCACACCTCTGATTACCCAGGGTGGGTTCGCAAGTTTGAACCCCGCCTGAGAATAGTAATGTGTGAGAGGATTGCTGGACTCGTTGTCACTGTAGGGTGGTTCACGTAACCGCTGTTCGGTTACGGCTTCCTCCACTATCAAGTCCACTCTTCCGGAAACAAATAACAGGCAAACTAAAACCATATCTAACATGGACTGGTAAACAGATGGGCAGCTGTGGTTTACCATGTGATTAGGCCATCTTAATCAGCTTTCCTCCCCCCGTGATAAATATGTAAATCCAATCCTAACCCACTTAAATCCGAATGGCAAATGACAAACTTGATAGAAAACTTGACGAATCAGTTTGGTATTCACACTAGATTGGAGAAAAGTTCCATACTGTAGAACAGGGCAGATAACCCTCACTACATCTTGTAATGAATATCCGGTTCAATTTCTTTCATACACTAACAGCATAAAATTTGAATATGAGTACTGCAGAAAACTTATACGCATTATAATATTTTTGTTACTACAGTGTTGTTGAAAGAAGAAAAATTACAGTAACAAGGCTAAAACTATTCCCTACACTGAGACAAATTTGAATAACCAGTATGGGCCTTCCTGTCATTAACACAGTATAACTAATTTGTAAATGAAAAATTCAAAATTAATTTGAAATAAAAAATGCTGTATTGAATTTTATAATACTTATTAATACCTTTTGCCACAAACAAGGCCTATCTCTGATCTTTTTACTTTGGTATTGCCTACCCAATTTATTGCAACCTGGCTGAGGTGGGGAACTTGGAGATGTGTAATCTATGATACCTACCAACACGGCTGAGTCTACTGCTTTAACCACTAAGCCACTATGAAGGCCTAAATACCTAATTTCAAATGTATTCAAATATTTAAATCGTCTTTTCCATCCATATATAAGGGCTAAAGTAGGCTAAAGTACTCACATCATGAGACAGCATTGCCCCAAAATAATCAGATCCAGCTGAGACTACATTTTTATGAACTGGAATTTCTTCAGATCCAACTTTTATGAGAAAATCACAGAACATTTTGTTCTCCCTCATTCTGAAAACAAATATTATACAGCTTAGAAGATAAATGAGATTAAGTCCTACCAGTCCAACTTCATGATTATGAAAACTAGTGAAATTTAGCGAGGAATAATAAATTTCTTGAGTGGATTATTCAACATTATGAAAATACTTTCAAAAAATGAGGAAATGCAACCAAGTAATCAGAGAATGAATGAGAGTTTCAAAGAATGCTTTTCATCACGACGTGGAAGTGTTACGATTTTAATTGGAGGGTGGGATTATGGCATATATACAGTGACATGAATGACTGTGCACAGTGAAGGATAAAGGTTGAATTACAAGAAATTAGAATGGCCCGAAGAACCCCAAACTACTAAAAAATGTTAAGTACTAAATGAATGTTTTGTTGGGTAGCTATGGTTGTGTTCGGACAATAAATGGCTGAGCCTGAGTTAAAATTTTGATCCGTTCGTCCAAAGTTGAGCACTTTAAGGGTAGGTTGGATAATAAATGGTTGAGCCTGGGTTTTCATTAAACAATGAGGCAATTTTGTCCAAAGTTGAGCACTTTGATGGTAAGTTGGATAATAATAAATGGTTGAGCTTGGGTTATCATTATAAAATAAGGTCATGTTGTCTGAAGTTAAGCACTTTGTTGGTAAGTCAAACTTTGACTAAGCTGCAACTCCACAACCATGCAGAACAGTTTTACATCCTGATGGAAACTGAAATGTGTTATGTTGATTAAGCATTTTCAACAGAAAACTATGAAGGACTGGAAGAGGCCAAAGACTCATGGTCAAATATTGGTTTGCTATAAATTGTGGGAATTGTGATTCAAATTTGTTGCTAAGTAAGAATTGGTTGTCAAATTTCGAGTCAGAGTCTAGTGCAATTTTTTCCGGACTCCACATCCTTTGTGCCAAACCTAGGTCTCCAAGGACAGAGTGAAATTTCCAATTTATACCAGTTGGGTTGACCTAATTGAATATTTGAATTACAATATAGAACTATAAACCTGTTCAAATTCTCCAATAACTCAGCATCATGAGCATTCTTATCCATCGGGATTGTTCGTTCTACTTCCATGTTTGAATAATGTTGAAATAGTAAAACTCAAGGCTAACTGCAAAACTTTATATTATAGTCTAAAAGGAACAATGAAGCACATTATGCAAGCCTATGTATAAAAATACTCATTATAAGAAAACCAACCAATGCTATCTGTAATGATAAATTAGTAAAACACAAACAGAATAAATAAATCATGTCAATCCACCATAATCGTATGCTTATTTTATCACAAGATGGAAAATAACAAACACATGACACATGGCATATCTAGCATGATTTCCAGTGGTGAAGTGGAGTTAGCAACTGATTATATGGTTGTGCCATTTTTGGTACTCCCGTGTGTGAACCAAGATGGCGAACACCGGAACGTAGTATGTATACCAGGTTATGCATAGGCCATAATTCAGGTACAAATACTACGGGTCACTTGGCTAGTCCCAAAACTTGTAATAGAACTAAAATAAGGAAACTTTTGGTTCACATACTACGGGATTAACCATTTTATTATGCATGATGGTATAATGTTATGTATGCTAGTTTTTATCATGCATGAAGCACAATTGGGATTAAAATCAACTCGATAGTTTTATATGGAAAGGAACGAGTAAAAAACAAATGGCATGAATATCTGATGATATATATATATATATATATATATATGTTAGGCCATACTTTCTGAGCACAATTTTGTTCAATAATCTGATATCATATGCTTACTGACAAATTTTCAAACGAAAATATTTCAATTGTCCATAAAATCAAGAATTCACCACATCAAATGTAATCAATTAAGAGTATGTTCGAATGCTCAATTTGTTATGGTCATCCATGGACAGAGTCAAGAATGGGCATTTGATAGAAGAAGCTATAAACTTACATCCTGAGATTATAAATAAAAGAAAGTAAATCAATGGCTAGCTTGCTGGTGGATTTTTACAAAAAAAAAAATTCCATTGTTGAATATGAACAAAGATGGTAGATCGATATATAGCCCTATAAACTGTCTTAAGATTTAGTGTAAGTGAAAGTACAAAAACATAAGCAATAAGAATTCAAAATGTTATAAATCTGGAAAATAAAAATACATAGTCAAATATATTTTATGCATATATATCCTAGTTGTAAAGAAAAACTTGACCATATGGTGGTCCATGGCCTTTCGTCTGAGTGCCAGTTGGCTTAGGTTTTTCAATAGAAAATTCGTTGGGATGTTATAATCTGGCCAGTGGCTAAAAAAAAGTGACTTGCCGTGGGAGTTCAGCAATCCATGAACTTTCCCACAGGAACCATACCAAGAGTAGTCAGCAATAAGTTGCCATGCATATTCATTAGGCGTAGCATAATGTGTCAAAATATAAAGGAAAAAAATAAATATAAGAAAAGCATATAGGAATGAGAATCACAACAAATTCTGAAGCCATAAAAAGTTTTGTTGCTGTAAAACAGTGGTGTGCAACTTGCAGCCCGCAGGCCAAATGCGGCCCACAAGAATGAAATGCCACTTTTGGATTGTGTGCGGCCCATGTGACGAGTTTTTAATTTAGTCTAGTATTTGCAAATTATTCCAATCCCTTTGCGTCACAATGCATATAGCTGAGCTTTTGCAATGCGAACAATGCATGCCAAAAGATCAATAACCAAAATTTTTGTGTCTACAATTACTACAAACCCTGTGTTAAGAAAAGGTTCGGCCCACGGTTTCATCCAGGTATTTGTATATCCTGTATTAAAGGTTGCACATCCCGCCTGTTAGGGATTACAGATAATATATACAAACGATAATATACCAGTATGTGAATATATTGTATACCGGTAAGTATATAAATAGGACATAAAAATACTGAATTGAATATGAATGAAAATACTTTCAACTGGATTTGTATGGTTCTGTATAATAAACTTTAGGTTGCAAATAACTTATATTCACAAGAATTTACTGAAACAAGGCCATGTGCACTCACTTGAAAGTAAATGATACTCATCTAAGCAAAATTTTGTACGACCTCTACTACCGGTATATCAAAAGCTTTAGAAACCCAATTGTAAATATCAGTCAAAATAAGACTGGACTCTCACACAGTTAGGCATACAGTATTCAACATGGTTATGAAAACAGCCATTGAATTCCATACAAATGAAGTTCTTGGAAAAAATTTCGGCAGACTGATCGTTTATGAAAGAGAGCTCACAGGCTATGGACTATGAAAGACCAGAAACTTTTCTTGAAAGCAAAGGGTTCTGAAGCTCGTCTGCGAAATTAGTAAGTATTGCGGTTCATTCTATCCCTTTTGATTGAAGAACACGACGTAGATCGAAAAGATACTGCAGATCAGGGTGATGTCTGACAACCTTCGGGCTGAAAAAAAAAAGTTACTAATAATTGTGGACAACCAAGGATAAATAAAGCACAATCGATATAAGAAAAAAAAAATGTAATCTGCAGCAAATCGAATTTCTATAGAGAAAAACTTCATCAGCGCATGATTAGGGAGGGACGCTGGCGTATATATATAACAAGGAATTTTTCACAGAATAAGTTGAAAATTAGCACGAAAGCAAAATGCATGAAAACTTATTTAAATTTTTCAACAATAATATAACAGCCTTACAACAACTTTGACACCACAAAAAGTCAAAAGTATATCGACAGCTTGGAAATATTTAATATGAAATAGTTTACTTGTCAATTTAAGGTCAACTTACTCTAGGGTCGTCCTGTGGGGGATATCATTCCACTCAATCTTGACAAATCCATTCTTGATTTTCTGTAGTTTGAAAGTCAAGCCCATGTAGAATGCCCTCATTAATGAATTTAAAAGCTGGCGACCTTGAAGGTTGTCAGGCAAGTACGCATGAAATGTCTTGGTTCGATAAGATAGTCCCTAAAAAGAAAAACTACCTAATTATTCATGACCACATATTTATTAATGGTACTATGTTAATAAATTTGGAGTTTTAAAAAAAGTAATAAGTATTTAAGCTGAATGAAATATTGTAGTTTCATTGTTCCCTATCAGTTTAAAGTGAAAATTTTGATTTTTCATGTAAAGAACCATAGAACTTATCTACCTGAAAACTTCCACCATGAAAGTAATATATAATTTCAATAGCGTGTGTTTGTGGTGGAAAGCCTTCTAATATAATTCCTCTCAAAACACGATGTGACATCTCTCCATGCACATGTTGGAAAACATTAGCTGGAATAAATATTTGCTGACCAAGCTGAATTTGAGCAATTGATAAACGTGAAAACAATTCATTCATTAGCATTTCTGTGCACTTTTCAGATTTTTTCACCAATGTTTGAAACTTAACTGTATTTTGAAGGAAATCGAGAGGAATCTTTTCAAGCTTTACGAGACTGAATAAGCCTTGGAATTCTTTTTTACGGTTTTGAAGATCATGTTTGACCCAATCAATTGCTGCATTATATTTAACAGTCTCAGGCACACATTCAATTTTATGGGAGCTCAAGAGGCAGACAATCTCCTCTTTGCTGATTAAACAAAACTCTTGTTTTTTGACTATACCTTCAAAGTTAACTTCCAGGAATTGATTTATTATAATTTTTGCAGAGTCTGAACTAAGATTCTGGGCCAGGCTCTTCAGAGTGAAGCAGTTATCAATATCCAAATTTCTCTCAAGAAAATCATTGTCCGAAATTAGAAAAGCAATCACAAAATCACTTGTCTCTTTGTTGTCTTTCACAAAAGGTTCTTCCAATATAGTTTTTAGAATGAATTCAAATGGAAATTTTTTTATTTCAATTCCATTGAGAAATTCCCTGAAATGTTTTTTTACGGCACTGCTATTTATTTCTACAAATTTCAATATAGCTTTCCATGTAGTTTGATATGTCACGTTCAAATTGTTGATGTATCGAAGAAGATCGTTTTTAGTAATCGAAGAAAAAGCATCGGAAGAGAGAACAAAATCAAAATTGTTGACAACAACTAGTTCTGCCTGATTTTTTACATCAGGAAGACTAAAGATATCAGACAGGTGGACTACAGTGAGACAAGTATCTGATGAAAGATTTTTTAGCAAGAATTTGGAGCAGAGAATTTTTAGGGCTTCAATTTGTAACAAATCCGATGCATGCAACATATTTTGAATATTTTTCATGCTAATCTTTGCTTTTCCCTTATACATGAACTCAATGCATTGTTCAATTCCACTTTCATCTATATCTTTCATTTCCACAAACCCATCTTGGACTTCTTTCATGTTGCTTAAGAACATACCTTCAAAATAGTGAGACGAGGCTGCTAAAATTAAACGATGCACCGGGAATGATTTTTCTCCAACTTTGATCACAAAATCACAAAGAGATTCAGCTCCTCTCAACCTGTTCACTGATAACATGATACGTTCAGGTTGCTTCGCGTCAAAAAAATCTTCCGATGCCATGCTGGTATGAAAAGGAAATATCAACAGGTACTAAGTTCTGTAGAAAAACTTAAATAAACATGTATTTATTTTGAAGTGTTTTACAAATTGTTCTGAACAAAGCTCTTAATAAGTTTGTTTTAAAACGACCATGATCTTAAAATATGGGGATATTTTATTCATAACACCTGGGTGAGGTGGGAGGTATAGAGTTTGAACTTGAGGTCTATAAGCTAATAGTCTGACACAGTGTTTTCCAACCTTTTTTTCAAGCGACCCAAATTTCGACCCAAAGAATAAATACTGAGCGGCATAAATTGCTTTCATCTTGATTAAATTACTGATATAAAATATTTATTTATACATACTATTAATATGTTTATACATAACTTATAATTATAGGCTGAAATTGGTTTCCATCAGCGAGTTTTTGGAATAGTGACATGGCTTTACCTTTAAAATAGATGTTGCCAAGTTTCTTACGCTGTAATACTTGCCACATATACGATTACTATTGAGCAACATTTCAATACCAAATAAATAAAATAAACATTTCAAGTTTATTAAAAAATAAAATCAGTCACTTCAAGTTTGCTGAAAAAACAAGCGACTCAAGAAGATTTGCTTGATTCCTTGTTTTAGTTTGCCATCTATAGGTTGAAAACACTGGGCAAGCCCACATATAAAAGCGCCAACCACTAGACTACCACATAGATATATACAAAATCTAAGAAAACACACAAGATAAAACTTGTAAAAAAAACTGAAGTAGCAAGAATGAAAAAAGTCATTTCTCATCTATATAAATCATATATGAAGTGGATGAGATAATTATACATAATAACCAAGAAAAATAGATATGACAGATGCCATACAATAAGTGATACATAAGGGTGCTCTAAAAATTAGTATGTTGAGAACCATATTTTTCTAGTTACGGTATGCTCTTACACAGCTTGAAATAAATTTTCAAAATACATAGACTTGATGAACTCCAATAATTATAACAGAGACTTTCAGTAGTAAAAGAAGGCACTGACTGGGGTCAGTTTGAGGAACTAGTATAATTTGAAACAATAAATTGTCATGGCCTAAAGTAAATTGTTTAAAAAAAACCAAGCCATTAACACACAATATTGAAAGCCACATTGTGAAGTGTCTATGAACAGTGAAACCTTACACTCTTGAGCAAACAAACTGAATTATTTACTTGAGTCACAAAAGAAATATAAAAAATAAAAGTAAAAATTTATTAAAATCAGACAAAATATTCCATATTCTTAGAATCTTCAATATTGAGCGTAAATCTTAAATTTTCATGAAATTTCATGATTTGAATTCTAAGCCTAATTCACATTCCATTTGTAAAACTATGAAGCCAGTAGGGCTGGGCATTTTGAAGCACTGATATGTCAAAACGGCAGTGTTTCGATTTTCGAAAGTTGAGACGTCATAGCTAAAGCACACTGAAATTTGTCAAGGTATCACGTTTGGACATAATAAAATATGCCAACGATATGTATTTTATCGAAATTATTCCAGATGTGTATGACTCCACTCATTCAGAAGGATCTGTGGCGTCACATAAAGTAGCAAATAGGCCCTAACATTACATGCGATGCAAGTCTACTAATATTATTTTTGTAGAATTCTAGCGCGACCTGGACACTGTTCTGTCATTAAACAAAAACTTTCCATGCTTTAATCCTTGGAAATATCTGCTATATATACATTACATTTGATGTGCAATAATGGTGCCTTGTTTATTTTTTGTAACAAACTCGTGTTTCGTTTCGAGACAAAATTTCGTTTCAATTTTACAACACCAATGTTTCGAAAATGCACAGCTCTAGAAGCCAGCATTATCAGAAATAACCTATCATCAAATTGCATGGTAATTGTAATTTTATTTCAGATCTCAAATAGCAAGGACCAAAAATTTTGCATGGGTAGTTTCATAGAGTAGGTTGTGTTATATCTGTACCAAAGTATACAATAGCTATGTAGATATTTTATAAAAATGTCGATGCAGAATGCTTTGAAACTAATTTACTTCATATCAAAATGTAGGCCTAGCGATATCTGTGCCAGGGTATGCGAAATCGATAAGTACGTTCAAAACCTCAAATTACTAAAAAAAGATGTTTTCTCTAGATTTCTGACTTTTGTTCAATCCGATTTCTAACTTTTGTCAAAGCCGATTTCACGAATAAGTCCCCATATGTAGCCTCATATCTTTCTATATTTACAATCCAATATGCCGAAGAGTGTGTGAAAAGTGAAAGTCTTAAATGCAACAATGACATTGGGCTGGAACCAGTTATAGGGTGTGATGAACTTAACGCATAAATATACAAGCTCAAACACTAGGCTTTGAATTAGTTCAAACGTCAACTAAGAGTCTTAAAGCAGCACAAACCAAAGAATGACTTCCAAATCAAAACACCCTGCTATTCAATGACGAACAGTGTACGTCAGCAGGGTCAAATCTTGTTAGTGTTTAATGCGTTGTTGGATTTCAAGACACTAATCATCACATAGAGTACCATATGACATTACGTTCTGTTTAAAATCTCTAAAGCACAATCCTTTTATTGATCAGAATAGAGATAAATTAGAGTAAAATATTCTGCCTAAATTGCCTGCACTGTGGCCATCAACACATAATATTATAAGCCCCATTGTACAAGAGTCTTTATGAACAGTGAAACCTTACACTTTGAGCAAACAAACCAAATGTTTACACAACGAGTCACGCACGGTATAATAGAGTTCAATCAAGAACATATAAATAACAGTAAAAGTTTTTTGAATCTTGAATACCTAGGGAAATTTTAATATTTTCATAGAGTTTTAGGATAATTGTACACTCAACCTAACAGAAATTTCACTAAAATACTATTAAGCCAGCAATAAGAGAAATGTCATGAAAAATGCATGGTAATTTAACACTTGAACTCAAAAAGCAACGAATAGTAGTTTTGCATAGATAGCGTATACATTTCACTTTAAAAATTAACAATCTGGAAAGTCACTGAGTTTACATACTAGGATTTTAGAATTTACATATTCATCCCGGTGGAGAGAAAGCCGATAAGACAGCTGAATCATATGGAAAACCTGACCTTTCGTCCGGTTACCAGTTCATGTCGAGTATGTGATTAGTTAGCCAGTAATTTATTTTAAGATGCATGAACTTGATGGCGGAGAAAGCCATAACTGACCAGTGGTTACGTGAATAAGAAATCCAGCAATCTTCTCACACATTATTAAGCCTGCATGGATTCGAACAGTCGTAGACTGATCAGAGGTGTGGTGGCAAGCGTATTACTGGTGCTCGGCTATATTTGTGCCAGAGTATACAACAGTGATATGTAAAAAATGCTAACATAGGATTCTACAAAAAAAATGGGTTCAAAGCAAAGTCACATGCACTCAAAAGCGTAGCCAGCCTAAATATTAAGGTTGACATTTAACAATATCTTAAAAAATCTCTCCACAGGCTTATTTTGCTGACGAAGTTATCCAAGGTATAAAAACGTGCACTTTCATCTATCTTGGTTGGTTTATTTGGGGAATGGATTATTGAAAGCAAGCCAGGAAAAGTCCGTTTAAAGTAAATCGTTCAAGAATAGAGTAAAATGGTGCTGGAAGCAGCTTAGGCAAAATGTATTTAAAAAAAATTTCAGAATTAAGCTAGAATTCGGATGTTGAAATCATTTTTTGCGTGGAGGAACCATGTTTGCAGTATTTGCCTATATTCGCCTCGTTTACTCTAAGCCATTCCCGTCCCCACCTCTTCGCGAGTAGAAACAGGAACAGGATTCTGATCTGTTTTTAGCCATTTATCAGCCAACCTAGCTGGCTATTTCGGCTGCCAAATTTTATTACGTCATCATTATATTTTATAATTACATTATTTTTATTTTATTATCCATTGCATGCCAAACACCATGAGTCTTCTAATTGAATACCTAGGTCCTAGTTTATGAATGCCGCTAATAAATGCATCCGAATCTATTAATGCATCTGGATCACAAACATCAAATTCTTATTATACGGAATATCTTTTTTTTCAACCTGAAATAATGCACGCTGTGAATAATACTCCCAGACTATTATTTTATTTGTCTACCTTGCCTAAAGTAATAATTCATAGTATCGATATCGAAATATTGGCTTTTTAAATATCAGCGTATCAGTATCAGCGTTTTTGTTAGTATCTGTATCGATGTCAAAAGTGGTATCAGTACATCTCTAGTTTTATTAGAAACAATGAATGAATATGCCCATAGCCCAATGCTAAATCTATTTCTTTTTTATTGAAATATTCCTGTTAAATTTCTTTGCACTGCAGCCCTCAACACTCGATAAAAAAAGCCTTATTGTACAAGAATCTCTATAAACAGAAAAACTTTACACCCTGTCTGAAATGTCTCTGTTTTGAATACTACCGAAAGATCACCTACGCCTGGGTAGTTCCATGAAGTAGATTTACTGGTAGGTGAATCTGTACCAAAGTATACAATAGCGATGTAGATATTTGAAAATGAAGTTGTTAGAGGCCCCTTTTGAGAATCCAATTTATTTCATATCATAATGTAGGCCTAGTAATATCTGTGCCAAAGTATGCAAAATTGATATGTACCGGTACATTCAATAAATCTAATTGGAGCCTCATTAAAAAATCCCTTTCTATTTTTAATCTCAATTTGTGATACATATCAATCATGTGACATACAACAATTATTCGCTGTCATCCGGGGAAGCAGTACAGCACTATTCAACTCAGACACAAATAACCTGCAACAAAACTGATATATATTCGTAGATCTTAGTCCCATCGCTTGCATATTATTAGTATTTTTGATATTCCAGATATGTATGATACGATACGACGTCGTATCGCCGTAGAGTTCAATCAAGGACATTAAAAACGAGAGTAAAAGTTACTATAAATGAATAAAATATTCAAAGTTTTTGAAATCATGAATATATCCATCAAGTTTTTGCATGTTTAATCATTTAATCTAGTAAACCTTTCCCTGGTAAAACTATAAAACCAGCAGAAGGGGAAATGCCATCATAATGCATGGTAATTTAACTCAAGATCTCAAATAGCAAAGAACAATAGTTTAACACGGAGAGCGTATACAATTTAGCGTATCAGAATGTAGGCTTAGCCAACACACAGCAGCTATATTGGTTCCTTAAAAAATGTCAATGCAGGCATCATGAAATATCAAGCTTGTTTCGTGTCAGAATCTAGGCTCGGCAATATTTGTGTCAGGGCACACAACAGCGACATTGATATAAAAAGTGTAATGGACGCCTCATTGAAAAATTACTTCAGTTGGTAATACTTAACTCCAATCGTTGCACCCAGTCTGTATCGTGAACATTTTGCGTTAAATTAATTATGTTTTGTTATGTATATGTTTTCTGGTGGACACAACAAAATAAACTCTCTCTATATATATATATATACATTTCATCCCCAATGTTAATTCGAATGCAACCATCTACTACTGGCTTCTACTCCCTAGTTTGATGAATCTGTGAACACATTTTATACCCAGGTTAGAATTAATAGCATGTGACTACTACAGCTAGTAAGAGGTTGTCCGTTTACTGACCCAGCTATTTTAAACCTGCCCGGGATAGCCTTCAACAGAGTTGATATA